TTTAGCAAAGTGCATTAATCTCTCAAATTTGGCACTTATTCTTATGTAAAATCAGTTTATTTGTTTTGGATTGTGATATTTTTAATTATAAAAACTAATTAAAAACAATAAAGCTCTTTTTTCTTTTTCTTTTCATTGTGCTTGCTTTTTTTTGTTCTTTCTTTGTTAATATATTTAGCTCATCCTTTTATTTTCAAATTTTTTACTTACATTATTAATTAATTAATCTTATTATTTCATATTTTTCTTCATTTTTTCCTTCTAATTAACTATTTAATGATATATTTTTTCTTCAATGTTTAAAAAGTTACAATTAAATTGGTAACAAAGGTGCATCAGATTTAGCTTCTGGTTTAGCAAATTGCATTAATCTCTCAAATTTGACACTTGACCTTACGTAAAATCAGTTTATTTGTTTTGGATTGTGATATTTTTAATTATAAAAACTAATTAAAAACAATAAAGCTCTTTTTTCTTTTTCTTTTCATTGTGCTTGCTTTTTTTTGTTCTTTTTTGTTAATATATTTAGCTCATCCTTTTATTTTCAAATTTTTTACTTACATTATTAATTAATTAATCTTATTATTTCATATTTTTCTTCATTTTTTCCTTCTAATTAACTATTTAATGATATATTTTTTCTTCAATATTTAAAAAGTAAGAATTAAATTGGTGATAAAGGTGCATCAGGCTTATGTTTTGGTTTAACAAAGTGCATTAATCTCTCAAATTTGGCACTTTCCCTTAGGTAAAATCAGTTTATTTGTTTTGGATTGTGATATTTTTAATTATAAAAACTAATTAAAAACAATAAAGCTCTTTTTTCTTTTTCTTTTCATTGTGCTTGCATTTTTTTGTTCTTTTTTTTTAATTTATTTAGCTCATCCTTTTATTTTCAAATTTTTTACTTTTATTATTAATTAATTAATCTTATTATTTCATATTTTTTCTTTAATATTTAAAAAGTAAGAATTAAATTGGTGATAAAGGTGCATCAGGCTTAGGTTTTGGTTTAGCAAAGTGCATTAATCTCTCAAATTTGGCACTTAAGCTTATGTAAAATCAGTTTATTTGTTTTGGATTGTGATATTTTTAATTATAAAAACTAATTAAAAACAATAAAGCTCTTTTTTCTTTTTCTTTTCATTGTGCTTGCTTTTTTTTGTTCTTTCTTTGTTAATATATTTAGCTCATCCTTTTATTTTCAAATTTTTTACTTACATTATTAATTAATTAATCTTATTATTTCATATTTTTCTTCATTTTTTCCTTCTAATTAACTATTTAATGATATATTTTTTCTTCAATATTTAAAAAGTTACAATTAAATTGGTGACAAAGGTGCATCAGATTTAGCTTCTGGTTTAGCAAATTGCATTAATCTCTCAAATTTGACACTTGACCTTACGTAAAATCAGTTTATTTGTTTTGGATTGTGATATTTTTAATTATAAAAACTAATTAAAAACAATTAAGCTCTTTTTTCTTTTTCTTTTCATTGTGCTTGCTTTTTTTTGTTCTTTTTTGTTAATTTATTTAGCTCATCCTTTTATTTTAAAATTTTTTACTTATATTATTAATTAATTAATCTTATTATTTCATATTTTTCTTCATTTTTTCCTTCTAATTAACTATTTAATGATTTATTTTTTCTTCAATATTTAAGAAGTTATAATAAAATTGGTGACGAAGGTGCATCAGGCTTAGGTTCTGGTTTAGCAAATAGCATTAATCTCTCAAATTTGACACTTTACCTTAAGTAAAAACAGTTTATTTGTTTTGGATTATGATATTTTTAATTATAAAAACTAATTAAAAACAACAAAGCTCTTTTTTCTTTTTCTTTTCATTGTGCTTGCTTTTTTTTGTTCATTCTTTGTTAATTTATTTAGCTCATCTTTTTATTTAAAATTTTCTTCTATTTTGATATTTATTTAAAATTTACACAAATTTATTATAAAATATTAGCCTAATGAATGAATCATAAAAATTCAAAGTAATAAATAAGTGTCTTAAATCAAAAAGATTAGTTATCTTTCAAATATATTTCTGGTGATAAACAAGTGGAGAAAAAAGGATGAATGAATAAATATTAAATGTTTTAATAATATTATATAATATTTTGAAAAGTTTTTTTAAATCTATAATATAAACTGATAGATAGATAGATTTTATTATTGATTTTATATTTATAAATATCATTCATATTTATTTTTGTAAGTTGATAAATTATTTATAAAAATAAAAAAATTAAATTTACTTAAATAAATTAATTCCTCTTAAGTA